TTGAAAAAAAATTAACCCACATTGATAAAAGCTTTCTCTACTAAACAAACATCAACTCAAATTAGATAAGAAATTAAAATATATATTTTTCTGATTCATCTTCGAAAAGTTTTTTTTTTTCAAATTATATACCTTCTTATCTTTTTTGTTTTTAATTTTTATAAATAAAATGTCCTTCTGCACACTGCTAGTAAGATCAAAAGGTAAAATATGTACTTTTTCCAATGTTCTTAGGTTTGTTTATAATTTTCAGAGTGTTCTGTCTTTTTAATTTTGTTTTATTACTTTGAAATGTATCGTTTTTTATCCTTTACTCACCATTTAAACCACTTAAAATATAGTAAAAGAGGTACATTTTCAAAATAAATTTATTAGAAGTGACTATAATTTTTAAAAGAAAACTAAATCTAAAACTTAATTTTTTTTTTACCTCAAACTAAATAGAAAGGGGAAGATATGTTATATCTAGAATACCATGAAATTTATGTTTTCATTCCTTAACCCTTTGTTCACTTGAATGAATTTAAGAGAGAATAATTGAGTAGATTTGAAGATAATTTTTATTGTTGTTTATTTGAGTGAATTTGGAATGGATTTGGAAGCAAAGTTTGTGATAATTAGTACAGTATTTGATTGATATGACAGATTAAAAATATTTACTTCCAAATTCACTCAATTCTTTCAAATTCATTCAATCAGACTCCCCTAAATGTATTCAAGGGAAAAGACTTACCATCATCATGACAAATTTCCAATCAGCACTTTCTTCTCTAGCTCCTTTGTTCTTTCTTAATCTATGATCCCTTAATCAATGGCTGATTTCAATTGAGTAATCTAAATAACCTTATATTTCTTTGCCTTTTGGAATATGTGGCTAATTAGGAGTCAGAAAGTTTTCAAAAGCACTTTTTCTTCAATTAACAAAGCATTTTTTCTCAAATTCCTAAGTTATAGGTGAATGTGGGTAGGGTGGTGTTGTCAAGATCACCACTGTTCAAATAGGGCGCATTTGCATTCAATACTGAATTTGAAAAAGTAAAAAAAAATAAAATAAATCAAGGAAAAATGAACTGTACCATACAAGGGATGGGAAAATGACATAATTCCATTGATATTATATGATAAATTTGGTCGGATATTTGATCATATTTAAAAATAATTCATAAAAGTATCTTTCAAACAATAACATTTACACTATCAAAATTTAAACTGATTAATTTAATTTAATTTATTAATTAATTATTATTTATATTTATATATTTTAATTATTTATTACGTTAGAATAAAAACTAAATGTTTTTTTGTATTTTATTTAATTTCAATTATTATTATTATTATAAGATGATTTAAAGTATAAATTGTTAGTTTCCTTCGTATATCCTCGCATGTAATTAAGGATAGAAAGTTTGCGGTGTAATTATTTTTTGTGATTGGATGTATTATTTTTCGAAAATCTCAGCATTTGTTTTTTACTCACCAAGTCTTTATTGTTGGAAACAAATAGAATGTAAATGATGGATAAATAAAAACAAATTCTCTAAAACATTTTATAATTAAAAATAAATAATTAAATGGATGGAGAGTATTATAGTAAAGTTTTGTCCTTTTATTTTAGCTTTGTTTCCTTATAGGGTTTTTTTTTTCTAATTCCACAAAATTATATTACATAATTAGTGATAACCTTAAATATATATATTTTTTTATCTTTTTTCTTTTTGACTTTCTCTAGTAATTTGTTTATATTGTTATTGGTTCCTAAAGTGCTAAGTAGCATTTCAATGAAACAGAGTCCATAACACTTTAGACGACAAAAGAATTATTAAAAACAATTTTTTTTTTTGGTAATGATACAAAGTGTGATAATTTATTAGAGATTGAACGCATTTTTAATCCTAAACAATACTAATATCTTCTCTTCAAGTCACTCTTTTGTGGTCCTTTCTTTGTCTTGTTTATCAATTTGGATAAGTATTGATTGAGTGGAAATCTTTTAAAAAGTAAAATTCATAAAAAAAATACATAGCTTAAGATCAACCATGTCTTAAAGGATAGACATAGATTCACTGTATTATCCATTGAAAAAAATAATCTTATATAATTTGATTATAATGATTTAATGAGTAATTTACATTTAAAAAGCTGAAAGCAAATTTAAAAATATGACAATCATTTTTTACAGATTGTTATAAATTCCAAAATATTAAAATTATAATAACGATCTCTACAACTCTTATATTTTATACTCTCTAGAATATTGTTTTTTTTGAAAAGTATTTTTAAATCCAGAAAATATCTTTCGAAACATTAATATGAAAAATATGACAAAATACTGCGTTAATTTTAACGTCGTCCCGTAAATGTTGGTTAAGTTAATTTTAACGTCATTCCGTAAATGTTGATTACAAAATAACCAACGTAAATTATTGACAGATGGCATTTTCGTAAATAAGTGGACAGATAAATGTCTGTTAGGAGGGGTCCCGACATCTATAATTATAGACGTCGGGCCCCTCCTAACAGACGTCTATATGCCTAAGAGGTAGATGAAAAGTCATTTTTTTCCGCCTTAGAGACGTTTGATCCCGCCACCCCAATGTCTATATTCGATTATATACGTCGGTATCCCTCCTAACGGACGTGTATATGTCTGACAGGTGGATGAAAAGTTATTTTTTCCGTCGTATAGACGTCGGATCCCGCCATCTGACGTCTAGATGGCCTGACAGAGTAGGTGAAAAGTTTTTTGCACGTCATATTAGTAAGGGTCCCGACGTCTAGGCCACAATAGACGTCGGTTCACCTAGGGAGCCGACGTCTAGCTTGCTGTTAAATCAGACATCAAACCCGCAGTTATGAACACTTCATCGTCTTCCTTATCGCCTTTTCTCTCCGTGGCATTGCTTTTTCAGGTGCGTTTTTGTCTCTTTTGAACCGTTTAAACGTACTTTTATTCAATTATATTAGTCTTTGGTTGATTATCTTTCATTTGAACCGATTAAAATTAGTTTTTGTTGTGTTTTGGTGCAGTTTTTCTCGTATCTTTGGGTAGCGTAGTACCACATTCTACCTTTGCTAGTTTCCTCGTAAGGTGTTACTTGCGTCTTTTGGATGTCTTATAGCGTTTCAACCCAAAATCGAACTTCGGTCCTTGCCTAGTTCTATTGTCACCGTTCGTTTTCATTGGCGGTTTTAGTGGAACTAGGCAAGGACCCAGATTCGGTTTTCGATTGAAATGTCATAAGAGATCAAAAAGACGCAACCTTTTCTATGACGAAAATAGCAAAGGAAGAAGGTGTTACTACGCTACCAAAGACACGAACTACAGTAGATGTTGGTTAATGCAATGTCCAACGTCTATAAAGCCTTTTAGATGTCGGATCATGCAGTAACTGACGTCTATAAAGACGTCGAACCTGTTGAGTTCAACGTTTAATTAACGTCACTCACAAAGACGTCAGTTAAACTGACATTAAAAGACCAAAATAACATAGATTAAATGCACTTACTACACTGAGAGGTTTGGAATGTATTTTTGAATCTGGAGATACATTTTGAAATAATCATTTTAGAATACAATTAGTTTTTTTTTTTTTTTTTAAATAAGTGTTCTGTGAGTTATTTTCGAATTTAGAAATACATTCAGTAACACTTGTTCTGAATTGTTTTTTTTTTTTATCGAATGACGGTTCCAGAATGTATTTGCAGATATGAAAATATCTTTTGAAATACTTATTTTAGAATGTAAAAAATTCCGAAACACTCTGAAACTTTTTTTTATGTATTCTGATATGTATGTCTTAATTTAGAATGTATTTTTACTTCTGAAACAATAATTTCAAAATGAATGTTCCAGAACAGTCATTCTAAAATGTATAAAACATAAATCTTTTCCAAAACGGTGAATCCAATAAAGGAAAAATGGTGATATGGAGATTATGGGGTGTGTGTGGCCCTCATTTTTAATATTATTTAATTCAGGGGTACGACGGAGATTAAAATTTTCTTAGGCCCATAAAACTATTGGCCCAGCTCTATCTAGGTTACGTCTGTTTGGTTGCTCACTAAATTAAGTTGGAGTTTTACTTCTGCATCCCCACAATTTCTTTGCACACTCCTCAATTTCTCAAAATCACCGTAAAAATGATTTTCAGGTTATATGTTCTGAAAATTTTCTGGAACAAATTTTTCTGAAGAAAATTTTCAAAACATATGAAATGTATATAATGTCTTTTGGAATGTGTTTTATTTGGAGCAATCCTCTATGAAATGTGTTTCAGGTTATAGGTTTTTTTTTCTATATTTTTTCTCTTTTTCTTCCTCTGCAGCAATTTTTCCTCTCTTCTTATTCATCTGCGACATCAATGCCGACATTAGCAACAACAATGACAGTACGATGCAATGATGAAAGAGTTTGAGTATTTTCCAGTTAGTGTGGGAGTTCAGGTAATATATCTATGGGGGTGCAGGAAGCAATAGGCATTAAGTTGCTTTTCCAATATCACACAAGCCCTTGCATTCACGTCTTTCTTCGGTAAGGATTAGTTAGTATCAATGCAGCACGCCACCTGCAACTTTACTAAGTAACCCCTTTTATTTTTCAGTTTCTGCTCCATACGGATATATTACAAACTTTAACAACAATTAATAATAAAATCTGTACATTTATTATTTTAAACTATTCAAAATACTGTACAATTGTTCTATGAGTATTTGATATCAACCTTCTCCATCCATATTCATTTAAAGATTTTTATTAGAAATTATACATCAATTAAAATAAATTTAAAATTTACTTCTTATAATAATATTAGAATTTGTCATTTGTTCACTCTATTATTCCACTAAGTATAAATCAATTTTATGGTGAACTTCTTAAAATCAATTAGTCTCAAATGGTTAACTAAAAGAGTTAACGGTCTTATATCATAAGATTTATGTCCTGTTTTGCACCAATGGTTCTTGGAGGACCTGAGTATGGTTATTTTGGGTAAACCTGATTAACTTGGCAAAAGCACACGTTCATGTCATTTCATGATTTCCAACCTTTAGAACACAACCTATACCACGATTCAACCACAGCAAAAACATAAAATAAAAGTAAAACTTATATACACAAACCATAGGCAGCAACACGAAGTAGTTAAAGCTATGTCCAGAAAACCAATCTCTCTTACGGGTGCTTCACGATTACAACCGGACACTCTGCATGTTTGGCACAGTGATCACTAACACTTCCAAGGATTGCCCTTCAAATTACAACCAAGAATCCGATTAAGTCATAAAAATACTGCACGTCCCTCTAAACACAAATAAAATCAATAAGCTTCGTTAACTAAAGTTACCTCTTAAGGAATCCATAGCCATGACTTCCCATGACCAAGGTATCAGCTTCTAGTTTCTTCGCCACGCTGCATATTACATCCTTCGCATCTCCTACCCCAACTACCCTTTCCATGTTCACCTGCAAAATCACCAATTTCAGAGAATCAAAACCAGAACAGCAAAACCAAACCTCCAAAAATGACCGTGTAAGGTGGATCTACATTTGTAGCCTTCAAATTTCTACATGTGGCTTCAGCTCTTTCCATCACTGAATTAACCAGGTGCATACTGTACTTTTCCATAGCATCAATAACATCATTGGAAAAGATATACCCTGTAAAACATTACCAACTGAGTCAATAACATGATTTTAAGATAAGGTTCAAACAATATAATTACATAATGAGAAAGTGTAATTAATCAAGTAAAACCTGCAGCATCCAAGGAGTAGAAAGCAGAGGGTGGCCTGACATAAAGAAGCACAAGCTTGTTGGTATCGGTAACAAGATTGGTGATGCACCATGAAAGTGCATACATGCTCTCTTGGCTCTCATCCACAGCCACCATAATCTTTCTCTCTTTGTTTTCCATTACTATATTGTCTGCAAGGTGAGAGCTTTTCTATTTCTGTGTATGCCAAGCTTCAGAAATGTTGTTGGGTTTGGATAATAGTTAAAGGGGATGAAGTGGGGTTGCACTATATAGCGTCAGTCACTGCTCATGCGCTTTTTGGAATAGTATTTGGTGTTGTTTAAACCTTTGAATTCTAATCTACTGAATCATCAAAACAAACAAAACACAGCACATGGTTTCTTTGCTCTAGTTTTCGAATCTCACCACTGCTTACTTGTCAAGACAGTGGGAAAAGCGTAAGCTAGCAAACAAAATTAAATGGATGAAATAAAATTATAACTTAATTAATATTAATTGCACACATTTAATTAAAATAATTGATAGGATATCGTCATTTTTACTTTATAAATTCCAACTATCCATCGGTTTCAATTTTAAAATTATCCGTATAAGGCGCATCAACGTCTTAAACAAAATATGAGTAGATTTTTTTTTTCAGATGTACTCCCCTTAAAATATCTCTGATTTTTTTTATTCGAATAGTTGAAAAAAACAAATTGTTGAGAAAAAAAGAAAGAAAAAAGAGAAGAGAACAATAATTGATGTGCATTAGAGTGAGTTGAATAGGTTGTGGATTTGTATTGGCTGTGGAAAACGTACATAACAATCTTAGCTAAGATAGAGGAAACTCAAATTAACAACCGATGGTGTCGCGTTCACAATTATGAAAAGCTCTCTGGATCATTCTCATGACAGTAACTTGTCGACAGAGGGAGATGCTTTAAAATCTATTTTCAAAACTTCAAATTTAATTCTCTGTATAAAACTATGCATATGCTTAATTAGCATAAATAATTTTATTTATATTATTTAAACAGGTGGTTCTCGAATCTTAATAATATCATATTTCTGGGAGAATAATCCTACTGATATTATAATATTCAATAAATCATATATTTATTGAGAATTAAATACATTTATGATATATTAAGATTTTCAATCATATTAATATTAATTTTTTTAATAACAAATACTATACACTAATTAACATTCTTTTGTGATTTTTTTTAAATTAAAAAATATTTATTTTGGACAGTGGTTAAGTGTTCACTTAAAGCAATCTCTTCAATTACTCTTCCTATTCTAATAGTAAAATTTCAATTGATAGAATATACAAGCTAAAAATACTTTCATACTTAAATCTCTTTGATTAAATAATTAATGTTGTAATATATATATATATATATATATATATATATATATATATATTTATTGTAAAAATTTCAATAATTATAATTTTGACTTATATTTATAAGTTTTTTTTATAGTTTCTAATTAGAATTGGTTTAATCAGATCCAATTTTGTTAACCTTGATTACTGAAAAGTTTACACACACACACGTAGTTTATGTCTATTTCGGAAGTGATGCTCCCTCCACTATCCCATTTTCTCCCAACACCTCCCCAATCTTTTTAAAATTTTAAATTTATCCTTTTTACTTTTACCAATTTTACTTTTTATTTTTTAAAACCCTAATCTCAATCCCCTTTCACTTTCACTCTCACCAGCAAGCCCCCACCCCCACTGTCACTTTCTCTCTTTCTCTTAATTTCCACTTCCGTTAACACAAAATTTGACAGAAGAAGCAAATTTTGCATGATATAAATTTAAAACATTTATAACTTCTGATGAGTTTTGAAGTATCATGATTCCATAATATAATTTACTAAAAATTTCTTCCCGACTTTCTTGTCTTTAAATAACCAAACATGAAAATCTATGCTTAAACTTGAAGCTCTGAACCACCAGGAGATAACCCTTGTCGTTGTAAACCAAATCGTTTAGGGCGTAGGAGCTGAACTTACCTTCAATGATCACTGGGTGTTCGGTGATTCTCGTGGAATTTGAAAGGAAATGGAAAATGTTGTGTTAATGGAAGTGAAAATTAAGAGAAAGAGAGAAAGTGATAGTGGAGGGGGGGGGGGGGGACTTGCTGGTGAGAGTGAAAGGAAAAGTGAAGGTGAGAGGAGATTGAGATTAGGGTTTTAAAAAATAAAAAGTAAATTTAGTAAAAGTAAAAAGTAAAAAGGATAAATTTGGAATTTAAGAAATATTGGAAAGATGTAGGGAGAAGATAAGGTGGTGGAGGGAGCATCACTCCTATTTCGGTGGGTGTCGCGTTTTCTTATCTATTTAACTTAAGGCTCGATTTAAACACATCAATTACATTTCTTTCAAACCAAGGCCTAATAAAAAAGAGCCAAGGAGGAAATGATTTGTCTAACTCACCGATAAATGCCATCTACCTTTTGTAAGGAAAAAAAATATGAAGGCCACCTATACTTTAGTCTGATCCCTAATTTGTGACATTTTTATCCGGCATTCAGATATGATCTTGAAGTAGAGAAGGGAGACTTGGGACTTAGGAGTGTGGTGTAGTAATATTAGTTGAGAGCATAAATGACATTTATATATAGGATAAAGATAAGGAAATTAGGGAGACATATCAATAAGATTTCAACATAATTTATTTATAATGCACATTCATTTTAAAATATTTAAGATAATATGAATTTTCATTCTTATATAATACCAAATTTTCTCACTTTTAATCAATGTGAGACTTATACTCACTTTAATTCTCAAGTGTTATAGTTTAATTTGATATTGTTTTATATCACACTCAAAATCATACAAAAACAATTGAAGAGACATGTTGGATGATAGTATGATGAGTGAACTGTCGACATGACAAAAGTTAAGGAAATTCTGGAAAGAGACTTTGACGTTCTAGTCTCTACTATTGGATATAGAGTTGATAGTGAAGAGACGTTCTTAGTTGGACTATGATCAGCTTGAAAAATTGAAGATGGTAGCTAAGTGACATAAGTATCTACTAATTATAGGGAACTCGAAGATCTAGATCAAGAAACCTTAGAGATTATGAAGACAATGATAAAGTTGGAGACTCGATAGATCCACCTAAAGGAATAATAATACAAGTTCTTTTAAGGGTTTTTTCTTTATATAGTTTTAGTGCATTTTTAGACATAAGATACGATATTGGACAACTTTTTAATTTATTACAGGTTGTAGGGTAAATCTTGCATTGAGATAATGACTTCAAAATGAAATCGTGTTATTTGCAAACAAATTTAACATACAAGGTGTCCATTTCGAAGATGACCAAATGCAAAATATTTTTCTTCTTCTTTCTCGTCATCATCGTAACCATGTCTATGGCAACTTCTACTCACACCATTTTATTCCAAACCCCTGTCACCTCTTTCCACCTTGCCTTTCGTCACCACATCTCTTCCAAACTCATCCATGAAATGCACCACCCAACTCCACATGCAACCCCCACCCCTCACTCATGCCCAAGATTGCGTCTTCAACTTCGTCGCCAGCTCACCACCCTCTCAGAAAAGGTTTTCCTTTGGGTCAAAATAAAAGTAATACGAACAAAGCACCATTTCAACTTACTTGAACTCATTTGCATAAATCACAACTTTGAATCCTAAATTACAAGTTGAAAGTGACTCATATAGGACACGGCTTTAGTATAATCAAGTTTTGCAAAGAAGTCGTGTGACTTGGACACGACTCTAGTAGAATCAAACATAAATTATGCATCCCAATACGACTTATGATATTCTGAAAATATAAAGTGGAAGTTGTATTCATGGCACATAACTTTTGCAGTGTAGGTTAAAGTCATTTAAACAACACACTAGTGCATATTTGTTTTTTTAATTCACCTAATATGCTTCGGTTTTAAAGAAAACGAAGTATATAAAGACGCGGTGATAATTTTGAAAATTTTGCGAACTTATAGGCCTCTATTGCACTGGAATCAAATCCATATACCCTTTTTGGCTTCAATTATTAAAGAACCGAGGTTGAAAGGTGCAAAATTTTCAAAAATTTCAAAACTCTCACTATTTTTTAAACTATTTATCTAAGGAAGGAGATTTGGCTTCAGTTGTTAAACAATTGAAGCAAAAATGTGCAAGAAATTTTTTCAAGATTTTTCAAAATCTTAAGGGTATCTTTTGTAAGAACCGAAGCCATACATTCTTTTCTGCTTTGGTTGTTAAAGAATTGAAGCCAAAAGATACGCGAAAATTTCCAATTTTTTTTCAAAATTTTAAGCATCGAACAAAACCAAATACTCTATTTTGCCTAAGTTCTTGTAAGAACTAAAGTCATACATCTTTTCTGATTTAGTTGTTAAAGAACCGAGACCAACAATTTCAAAAAATTTCAAAATTTTTGTTGTTTTTTAATTATTTTATCTGAGTGAGAGAATTTGACTTCAATTCTTTATTATAATATAAAGTTCTGTCTAGGATTATTTTAAAAGAAATTTTATTAAGGCAACATTGTTTTCTATCTTGCGCCATTCTTTTGGTTCTCTACAAACATCGTTTTGTCACCATCTTCCACTATTTTTGTCATCAAATGTCGCTTCACTGCTGCTACCACTCTTCCCACTAGTACATTAACAAGAAAAGGCACCGGTTATATTTTATTATTGACATCGGTTTTGTAACCGAAGCATATGTGAGCGAGGTAAAAAGGGCCGATTTTATGCCTCGGGTCATGGACTGAGATAAAAAGCATACGAAATATGCCTCAGTTCTTACATAACCGAGGCAGTATCTTATTTTTTTTTTTCAGATGCAACCTGCAACCTGTTTACAGTAGGCAACCAGAAATGGTTTCAGAAACCAGAAATTGTTTCAGCAAAATTTTTTTCAGCAACAAGAAACTGTTTCAGCAAGTCAATGTTTTTCACACAATCGGAAAATCCCAATCCCAACCCCAATCCCAATCCCAGATCAAAACAGACCTAACATTTTACAATTTCAGAAACCCAAAGTGCTTGTGACTGTGAGTCTTCACTGGCCTGGCCTCAAAAGCAGAAGAACAAGAGTAGACGGAGGCTCGCCGATCTGGAGAGGCGGAGGCAGCGACGATCTAGAGCGGTGGATTGAGAGCGGCGGAGGCAGGAAACAACGACGGAGGGCTCGCCGATCTGGAGAGGCGGAGGCAGCGGCGATCTGGAGCGGTGGATGGAGAGCGGCGGAGGCAGGCAGCAACGACG